CTGGAAAAAAGTGTAAAGTTTTAATTGTTTAGATTAAAAATAAATTATGCAAGCAGCACATCTCTCTCTATTTACAAATGGATATGTTTGAACATATCATCACGTTTCACTCCAACACCGTTCAACCGATCACTATAAAAATTGACATGCATATGTATTTTTAGTGGAGAAGGTTTTTGTGCTATCCTCTTTGTTGCCGCTCCCCACCAGGCGACGTGCAAATTAATTTACTATAAATAGGCGAGGTTTTCTAGCTTGAGAGAGAAAAGAAGTGGAAATGAATATACTCAAGCCAGGTGAAATTGATATTAAAGGTATAATATTTGAATTATAGAGTTTTGATTATTATTAGATGGAAACCTTAAAGTGACGAATGTTCACTAAGATTGAATTAAGATTAGATTAAATCAGATAATAAGTTAGACCCTGAATCAAAAGTAGGATCCAGTTTGTTAGTCGACTAATCGCTTACGTGTTACTGTTGTTGCTCCACTTTTACAGTTTTCATTGAGACATTCTCTCAATATTATTAGTTGAAATTGTGTCTGTTCTTAGTATTGAAATAAATAGATTAGATTTGAATCATGTCGAGTGCTTCTTCCCTCCCTCCCACACACATATAGGAGTTCACAAGAGAAGCGCGGGCCTCTTACAACGTTAAGTCCAAGCCTAAGAGATATAACCCTTAATCATATGACTGGGACAATTCTTCTTTGTCCCATACCTTCTTGCTTACAGTTCAGTTTAAAGTAAGAATTATAGTATTTAGTATATCGTGAACCTCGGTAAAGTGACGAGGAAAACTTCTAAGCTGGTACCCCCTTTTCTTATTACCACACCATACCAATGGGTTAGTGAGGGAATATTATCACATTGATCAGCTACACGAGGGTTTTGGACGACGGACCGCGTAATTTTGAACCATGGTCAAATGACATGGACGCCACCTGAGCTGGCACTCCCTTCCCTCTCCTAACTGCCTCACCATACCAACGGGAGGACGTTCAGCTCTCGACAGATTTAGCGTGCATCACTGCCTTACACGGTGGGTCTTTAGTGGTACTGGGTTCGAACTCGTGACAAAGCCAGCCACGATCCGATACCTATACCACTCGGCTACCGCGGCCTTACCATACCAATGGGAGGGCATTCAACGTGGATATATTTAACGTACATCAGTTCCCTCTACACAGTTGGTCTTTAGTGACAACAGCACTTGAACCCGTGACACTGCAGCCAGGAGTTCATGTTCGCAACCATAATGCTTCCGCGCCTCCCAAAAGAGGGGCTAAACGTTGGCGGGAAAAGAATGGATCCCGTTACCGGGAGCATGCTAAGCAAGTGCTCTGCTATCCGAACGACTTTTCCGCTAGTCATAAAATCAAACTACTCCCGAACCTCCCTCTACCTCCTGAAAAAAAATCACAAAAGAAAATACAAACAAAAAAGCAGTTAATACATTAGATTTCATTTTTGGTGAGATCATAAGCTTAGTAAAATGTACAATCCAACGCCTGTAAATAAACTCCTCTTCCAAGCAAGAACATTCAAAAGTGAATCAAAGCGGCCGCGAGAAATAGAGTTTTATTTCCCTCGGGTTTAAATCAGCGACAGAATTTCAAGTACTTATCGCAATTATATTTAGAAACCTGTTGGGTGTGATTACACCCTCGATGGCATAAATGAGATTAGGCGGGTCTCAGACTTTCGATATTGAGCTCCTTCAAGGTCTCGAAAGCATACGTCTTGATTTGGACACTCCCGTCTCTTACGTGATATTTCGTATTTGGAGTTAATAGATGCCATAATCATTTTCTGATGAAGTAATTAATCCTTTAAGATATTGCTTATAACCTTGTATTCTATTTTTATTGTCAGAGTTAAATTCATTTCATTAACAGAGCGTGACGAATTTCAAGTTATTTATAATTTAAGCATTTTCTTCCAGTCCATTCAATGTAAAATCAATACATAAATATATACTGACACACGAATCCTTTTGTGTACGTACTATTTGTTTGAAAATCAAATGAATCTTTATTTTCTCAAAATAACGTTCAGTAAATTTTTTTAGAGTCAAATTTTTATTTCTTTATAAAATTGTCATTAACTGTATATTTTTTGAATAAAATCGTTTGTAATTGTATAATAACTTAAAAAACACGAGTGGAATAAACTAAATTCACGGGACGTCATAGTCACATGATAAGGATAACCACGTGTCTTTAGCTAATCACGTGTATAAGGATAACCACGTGTCTATTTCAAAAACTCGCATGACGTCAGTCACACAATAAAATGAATCGTGTGTTTCCAGCTAATCAGTTCATGCGTTTCGATGTTGCCAACATTTGCTTTTTACAGAAACCTTCTCTTAAAATTACATATTTATCAACAATAATAATGCACATATGTATACAAAATGCATTCTATTTAAAAGTACACGCATAAAATATATAAGTTGTTCTTTTTAATTTTAAGATTGCTTAAAGAAATTTTTCTTATATCATTTGAGCATCTTTATTATACTCAATTGTCTTACAATCTAAGTTTCTAAAACAACAAGTACAATTAATTAAATATCTGTTTTGAATTCAATGGAGAACACATGTTTGTCTTTATCACGTGACCGCCATGAATTGAGCGCATAGATTTAAACTTGTGACTATTTTAAGTTTTATCAGTTATTGTTCGCATAACGTGGTAGCCGAGTGGTCATGGTCACAAAAAGGGGGCCAGCGTCATTGAGTCATGAGTTTGAGCTCTGGTACTGCTTAAGAACAAATGTCTAGAGGAGATAATACATGAAAAATCTGTCGAAGCTCAGTCCTCATATTGGCGGGTTATGAAAGTTGAAAGTATTGTAATAGCTTCAAAGTTATATATTAATAACCAATTAGTCGTTCTTTGCCACAGACCTCAAGACACCTTAAAACAGGTTAGTTTTTCGTTCGTTAAACGTCGTTCTTTCAACAATGCAAATCCTATTAGAGATTGGAAGTGTAATTTTGAACCATAGTGATGAAAGGGACATCTGAGTTGTGACACCGTACTCTCTAAACTTTTACACAACACCAACGTGAGGATTTTAAAACTAATTAACTCACTTGACTGAAATAATACCCCATCATCGAGTTCACGACTATGAACACTCGCCCGAGGACAGCAAATGTTTATTAACATCCCCCTAAAAAGGAACACGAGGGCTATTAGCGATGGACCTCAAAAATTTCAGGATGACAGCCGAATCTGGCACCTCTTCTCCTAACTACCACACTAGGTCAAGGGGAAAACTTTGATCCTCAACAGATTTAACGTGCATCCCTAATCACTAGGCTACAGCAGCCTAATCATACCATCCGAACATCAGTACTTTGAGCCTTGATAGATTTAACCTGCATCAACCCCTCTACATGGTAGAACTTGAGTAACACCCCGTCTTCAAACCACGATTGGCCAGAAGCAACACCGTCCACTAGTTCGCGACTCCTAACCCTCAAGTACCATACAACTGGACAGTAGAACGAAAAAATCTACTACTTTTTCCATTCCTACTATTAGAGTTCACTCTCTCCCACATATGTGTGTGTGTGTGTGTGTTTATATACACTGAATTAGAGATACCTACCTAGTAATGAGTTAGACCTCCTCTGGCCTTGATAACTATTATCACACGACAGGACATAGATTCGACAAGTTTCTAGATACGTTCCAAATGTCTTGCCAAATAATGGCTAAAGCTGTCCATAATTCAGTAAGGTTCGTTGGTGCTGTGTGATGGCCTTTCACGCCCTGGTTTAAAACATCCAAAGATGCTCACTGGGATATGTCTGGGCTTTTAAGTGGCCAATTTATTACAGAAAAGTCAGAAGAATGATCATTTTACTAGCCAGTAGCCAACCGAAACGTGAGAGAGGTACAGTTGCTGGAAAACTCCATTACCGTGCAGATAACAGAACAATATAAGCGGATGGAAGTGACCCCCCAGCACTTCTACGTACCGAATTGCATTGAGAGAGGTTGGTACACGAATCAGAGATCCCAAACAGTGCCACGAGAAAACACCCCAGACCATGATGGAGCCACCATGCCCTTGTACAGTTCCAACCTGGCATGCAGGATCCATGGCACCATAATCCTGACGCCATATTCTCAACCTCCCATCGGCGTTAGTAGTCGGAATTGATACTCATCACTGCATGGTACTCGTTACCAGTCCTCTACACTCCAGTCTCGGTGTTCTCTTGCCCAGGCAAGACGTGTAGCCCGATGGCGAGCATTGAGCAATGGTACTCTTGTAGGTCAATGACTCCCGAAACCCAACGGTGAAGCGAGCGTTGCACAGTCAATTTACTGACTGTAAGACTGGCACCGTCATTCGACTGGGAGGTAATTTCAGCTAATGTTTGGCTTCGCTGTCTAAGTATGATATGCCTAAGCCGTCTATCACCCCGCACTGTCAAGGCTAATTGTCCTTTGCAGTTTGCCCGATCGGAAGTTCTTTTCGTTTACCATCTCTGTATTCTTGGTATACTCTTGACACTGTCGACCTTGAAAATCCTAGCTGTCTGACGATTTCGGAAATTTAATGGCCCCTGCGTCATGCACCTACAATTTGTTTAAATCAGTATAAGTTTGAATTCCATCAACTAATTCAGAATAACCAAAGTACGCGGTATGCATGCAGTTACCACAGCGCTCTCACTTGCGCATACATGATGCGCAACACCACACAATTTGCATAGCACTTGCCATCCCAAATTTGCATAGCACTTCAGTGTATATATATATCTTATGCAAATTTTCAATCGTTAACAAAATACTTTTTATTCATCCACTCAAGTTCCAATAATTTTTTTAAACTTGTAGTGGATTACGCTTGATGTTAATACAGTTCTTTTCAATCATTAATTCATTAATTTAATCAATGAATAAATAGTAACTAACAAAAATAATAGTCTAACACCATTTTTAAAAGGAAAATTACTCGCCGCGTTCCTAAAGCGCAATGGATTGCGCGTTGTACTTATAATCCAAAAGTCGTGGGTTCGAATCCCGCCTGAAATGGCCTCATTTATGAGGATGCGATTTCTTTTTACTATATATACTATTTAATTGGAATAATTAAATTTAATTTATGAATGAATAGTAACAAACAAAAATAAGAGACCAACACCATGCATCAAAAGAAAATCTCTTTCTATTTTGCCACTTAATAGTGTGATTCTGTCATATGTGCATGCATATTTATATTAATTGTAATTATTTAATAAAAAGTTACTAAAATTAAATTTTTCTTCGTTAACCTAAGTAGGAATTGCCTTTAAAAAATTTTATGTTACTTGTGTGTTTTTTAGCAAATGCCTGCTGAAACAGAACTTACATGCCACCTCTACTTTGATTTCTAGACATGAGAATTAATTCTAAAACAAGAACTTTTCTAAATTAAGATTTCTAATCTTTTGCTCTCGCTAACATCTAAGAGTCTAAACATTTCATGTGAAGACTTCTTTCTATCGATTTCCAATATCGATTCAGCGTTATTTCGATTACGGAAAATAATGCCACAACGTCTTCACAAATAATCAGTGACATTTTAAGCGATTATTTTAGGATTGATTAGAATCCATGGCCCTCCCGTAGAGAAAAAGCAATTATTCGATGACAGCAATTAAGCAAAGAAAGGTCAGGCCCGAAAACCCTCATTAGAGAAAAAGATCTTTAAAAGGATGACGTGAGCTTCGATGTCGATATTCAAAATATGTACGGGATGGAAGATATTAAAACATCAGAAATTCCGGAAAAGGCGGCTGCTATATATTTTGAATAAGTATGTCTTGTATCTGCTCCACCCCGCTGGATGTTTAACATTTAGAATTGAAAGAGAAAGGGAAGGGTGTTTGATTTTGAACTTAGTTATCGTTGAGTTTTTAAGATTCACTGCAATGTATTCATCATTTGTATTTTGTCTGTAAATATTTAAATTTTTCAATCACAATTTTTTTAATATTTTGGTTATTTTACTAGTTTTATTATTTGTTAACTGAATTAAGGTAAAACATTTCTTCTAAAAAGCATTCATTATGTAATACAACTCTGACTCAACTCTCGGTGAATGAAGTAAGAACGGCCGATCTGGTAACACTGGGGAAACAAAACGCTGCACATGCGTAGTGGCAGGTGTTGACCTTTTATTAGCTTCACCTGTATGCAACAGAACCTCAGAACTCTCTCTCAATTTTTACCTTTAAAAAGGTCACATTAATTCGAAATTTTGCACACTTGTCAAGTACCGATGATAATGCAACAATTTAATAATTTTGTTCCATTGTCTTAATCAGGATCATCAGAATTAGCTATCTCCCATTTCCAGATTTGGCGACTAAACGATTAAGTTACAATCCTAAAGCGAAAGCGTTCATGGTTAATACAAATACAACAAGAAAAAAAAGTTTCAAGCATGTGGGAAAAAAATACCATTGATTTTACACCTTCCGCCTTGAATAACTCTTCTACATTTCCTTCAGTTGACTGATCTTGAATTTTACAAAGCAGGCCGCAAAATCTAAAAAAAATTCGTATCTAAAAAAAAGACGCATTTAAGATTAATTCCATAAAGAATAAGCCTAGTGGGTAAATATGTGGGTTTACAATGAATGGGTAGTCTAGTGGTTAGAGCATCGGACTCCAGACCGGAAGGCCTGGGTTCGATGCCCGATGCCACCAAACACCCTCCGAGTACACACGGAGTACGTGCTCGTTATATCAGTGGGTCCGTACTCTTGTGGGCTTAATCACGAGCGCAGGGAATGGAGAATATTTCCCTCCCCTTCAGTTTACATGCAGAAATTGTGTAGGTGGAGATAGAGGTCGTGTCGCCATCTATCGTCCCTTCGGGGAATTTCGCCGAGCTAAATCGCACTGTCACCTGAATGGTGCTCAAGGCCAACGACAGGCGTACATCTTGCCCATGCCACGATGTTTTGTGGGCCTCGATCTGACTACGTCAGACAGGTGGCATCAGAAAACAACAACAAATAATAATTGTTTAAAAAACATGCTTTCATTGCAGATCTAATTAAAAAATGAAAAATAAATTATAATTTTAAAAACATGAAAAACACGCTTTTATAGTTAAGCGAACAAAAAAGTAAAAGATAATTCTTAACATAAGAATAAAATGATTAATGAGAAAATTAATGTCATTGTGATAAAAGGGTGGGGTCCTTTGTATTACATTTTTTTCACTAACCCTCCATTTCAGAGTAGAACTAGTCAGAAATTATATCAATTGATATCGAGCACCCCACGCTTCTTCTACAATGATATTAATTTTCTCGTTAATCACATTTTATTCTTTTATTAAAAATTATATTTTTTACTTTTTAGTTCAACTCACTATGAAAGCCCGTCTTATAGGTTTTTTTAGTTTATAATTTATTTTTTAATTCATTTTGGAAAGTTCAGCCATACTTTCCAGACACCTTATATCTTAATTTTTTTTCAATTAAAGAAATATTAACTCCTAAAAATAATTTTTATAAATAATTTCTGCGTTTACCTAGAAAAGTTGTAACAGTTAATGTACTCTGAAATTTTCAGCTATCAGAAACATTTGAGTTTTAGTGTTTTAAATTCACTTCACGTATAATTTTGTGCTAAGTTATTTTTATTGCTATTGTGCGTAGTAAAAACTTAACTGTATTATACGCTTTTTGATTTATAGTCACGGGTTAAACTTTTAGAAACCAGTTACCGAAAACACTTACGGACAGTTTTTGTTAGGGAAGCTCTTAAAATTTCTACTGTTAAAAAATATTTAAGCACTTTTGCCTAAAAGCATATTTTTAAAAATCTGCTGCTTTTAAAAAACTTATAAGTAGTTTTCAGCAAAAATGGGTTTAAAAATATTTTATAGTGGGAAAAAAATATTTACGATTATTTTTACTAAAGCACATAATATCTCTATCGAAGACCAGTCTTCCCATTTTTTCCCACCAGAAAATTTTCTATTGGTTTAAATTTATCAAAAATAAAAAACTAAAATTGAAAATAATCACTACTTTTTAAATTATCGCTCATGACAATGTTGCGAATGAACTATCAAGTTCAAAATTATTATCAAAGTTCTTTAATTTTTGAAATGAAGATCAAAATAAGCATTTAATATATTTCAACAAATTAAATAAAATGTTTTCTTATAAAACATATTTGGTAGTCATAATTACATAAATGTAATGCAATTTCCTTAAATAAATCGTTTGTTGTGCTTCCTAATTAACTGTTCCTGATAACCGTTACCCGTAACTGATTTACAAAATAAAATTTGTGAAAAAGAACAATTCAGCAGTTCGAACTTTGTCTTTTAACCCTTTATCTACTGACGGTACTTATAAGTACCACTCACTTTAAAATTACATAGAATAACCTTTTTTTACGAATACTCTGATGATACTTAACAGGAAAAATCTTTGAAATCCACTCTTCCAAGATATATGGCAGCACAGTATCTGTGATGAGTAGTTTAGTGGGGAAGGCGAATAGTTTTATAGCAAAAATTGCGTTTTCAGCGGATTGCGCAGATTATCATTTGTGTTCCGAAAAAATAGTTAATGTCAAAAGGCAAGTGTCTTATTTTTTGTATGTTAAGGAAGACCTCAGAAAACAATTTGACTATTTAATTGAAGTGAACAGTGTGTATAATTAATTTTACATTTGAATATCTTTAATGAATTAGCTCTAACGGATTAAATTTCCCAAAGTTGAGTATTTATTTAAGTATATCCCTTAATTTTAATGTAGTGATTCTAAGAAAAATATTGCATGAAAAAAAAATGCAGTAAATCATAATGTGGTAGATAAAGGGTTAAATCAGTGTTCCCCAACCTTTTTGTCACCGTGGATCTGTCAATGTTGGATAATTTTACAACAATTTTGCAACATCTAAAATGAATATAAAGTGATTAACAAGGATAAAGTGATTTTCAAAAAAGTATCCCTAACCCAAGTTATGCCACAGTAAATAAAGCGGAAATAATTTAATGTTTCTTGGAGGGACAAGTAGCATTTCATCCACAGACAGGGGGGTGGAGACCACTCTTTTAAATTGTAGCTATGGTTTTTCTTATATGCATCTTGTTGCAGTAATATTTAATAAAGGAAGCGAATAATGGTGCAGTTTGTCATGGGAAGTACACTGAAGTGCCACTGAATTAGGGATACATACCTAGTAACGAGTTTAGCCTCATCTGGCCTTGATTGATTGATTGAATATTAACGTCGCACTGTTCAGCTACACGAGCGCTTTTGGCGACGGACCACGTAATTTTGAACCATGGTCAAGTGACGTGGACGACACCTGAGCTGACACCCCCCTCTCCTAACTACCACACCACACCAATCATCTGGCCTTGAAAACGGCTGCCCCGCTATGAAGCATGGATTCAACAAGTTTCTGGATACTTTCCACGGGAATGACTTGCTAAATATTGGCTAAAGCTGTCCATAATTCAGTAAGGTTCGTTGATGCTGTGGGATGGCCTTTCACGCATTGTTCCAAAACTTCCCAAAGAAGCTCAATAGGATTTAAGTATGGGCTCCTAGATGGCCACTTTAGGACAGAAAAGTCAGAGGAATGCTCATCCAACTTATCAGTACCCAATCAGAACTTGTGAGAGGTACAGTTGTCTTTCTGGAAAACTGCATTACCGTGCGGATAACAGAACAGAATAAACGGATGGAGGTGATCACCCAAGAAATTTACGTATCGAGTTGCATTGAGGGAGGTTGGTAAGCGGACCAAAGATCCCAATTAGTGCCCCCAAAAAACACCAGGCCTTGATTGAGCCACCATACCCTTGTAGAGTTCCAATCTGGCATGCAAGATCCACGGCTTCATGAGCCTGACACCATATTCTCAGCCTCCCGTTGGCGTTAAGTAGTTGGAACCGAGACTTATCACTCTATGCAACTCATCACCAGTTCTCTACACTTCAGTCTCTGCGCAGGCAAGACGTGCTGCTCGAAGGTGAGCATTGAGCAATGGTACTCTCGTAGGTCGATGGATC